CCCCAAAACCCCAAAACCCCAAAACCCCAAAACCCCAGAAATTATTCAAAAATTGAATAATTTAGAAGACATGATTGAAGACAGACGTTTTTGGAAACGTAAAAGTGTCCTTGTGACCAGAGCCAGAGCTATAGACAGAGGTAAGCAAGAAGATGAAAACTAGGCTTAGGAGAGAAACCTTTAGAGATTAGCAAGCAAGAGGATGTACTTGGAAAACTGGTAAAGGAACAATCTAGTCCAAAAAGAATACATATTGGCAAGCTGAATACGAATAAACTTAGTCTGGAGCCAAGTAAGCTTATGTGTCAGATTTATTAGATGATATGGCTTTGAAGACAAGCAGAGTAAAGTATAGCTCAAGAAGAAAAAGTAGAAAGACAAAGACCACTTCTCAGAAGACCACCAGCTCCTTTAATGATCGTAAGAAGAAAGAAAAGAAGAAGATCCAAGAGGGGATTCAATGGGTTAGACAAGTCAGCCCCATTAAGAAAACTGATTTTCAGAAGCAATAAAGACTCTCTTTAATTGGAGCGAGAAGTAAATTATTGTATCATCCCTTTAGGATAAAAGCAGGCATGGATGATGATATGAACTCTATAAATTTAATTACTAGTCCTGAGCTCCAATCTAAGATGAAGTTCTTCTTCAGTCCCTACGGCTATTCCAAATCAGCTGCTTTCTACATGAAATTCAATGAAGGACAAGTCAAGGAGGAACGCCTCAATTCAGGTATAGGATTAGTATGAAGTCTAGAAAATCAAATATCTTATGCGAAAATGTGGAAATAAAATATCAGATTTTGTTCTCAAAGACGACACCACTGAATTCAAAAAGACTATCGACAGTCAGTTTTCAATGTAAATTTCCCAGCTATCCGCAGAAACCAGATCGACAAATGGGTCAAAAACATCTGGAGCAAATAAAGATGTAAATAAATTTAAATAATTTATAGAGAAATAAGCCCAAATAGCGTCCAAAAAAGAACTAAAGTTAACAAAGCATCTGCTACAGCAAGGATCAGCATCAATGAGCTTGGAGAAAACAGTAGGTCTCGTTCATAACTTTCTTAGAAAAAATGAGTAAATTAACGAATGATCCAGCTCATTGAGACGACAGAACCTCTAGTATAGACACTAAATCTCCTTCAAATAACGGTAAAGAGCATGATCTGACCAATATGATGAATTTCAGTAAGCATTTTACAACATATAGCTCGTAATTTAAAAACAATGAGAGCTCGTTGTAGTCCTAAATAAATCAAATCATTCCAAACTTAGCATGATAGTTGACAACAGCAACAACTATAGCACGAGTGAATCAAATTCTTTAACTGGGAGCTTGACTGAGAGTAAATCTCAGTCATCTCTCCCTCATCACAAGAAGAGCAAGAAAAAATCACCACACATCAAGTAATCATGTTCAATTACTAGGTAGAAAAAGTTTCAACTGCAAAGCACCAGTTATTAGCTCATTTCAGAAACTAAAAAGAGTGAGCTTTACCAGGAAGAACTTCAAGCCAAATGATTCCCTTCATTATTCCTGAAAAGTATCCAAGCCTTTCAATAACAAGCTTACCTCCATCAAAAAAGGTAGTGGAATTTGCTATAATTTAGATTCAAGGGCCCAAACCAGCAAAGAACTAACCTTGTTAGACACAAAGAAGGACAGCATTAACTCTCCTTTGCATTCGCCAAGAATTTACAGTACTCCAAGGAATATGGAAAAAGACAAAAGAAGGCCTGCTTTCTTCTCAAAAGAACACCCAGCTTGTAAGAATGAGGAGGAGGAGAAAAGGCTACATAGCATCGAAGGTGAGGAAACTATATTGTTACATAATTAAATTCCTAAGGCCACCTCTCAATGCTAAATTTAGAAAAACAAGGTTCAAAATTACCTCAAAATATGTCCTTAATAACTTCAAATCTTGATTTCAAAACTATCAGCAACTATTACTACAGAGGGTCGAAATGTAAGAGTTCTCAAAATCTTCAACCATTCTCTTATGAGACTTAAGCCAAATGGAATGTTTTGCCTAGAATGCTCAATAGCTAAACTTAAACTCTAGATATCTCTGGGATGACAGCAGACCATCCTTCTGAGATCATAGAGCGCCCAGCAAGTTTCTCAATCACACACAGGCAAAATTTACTTGGAATAAAATAAATCAAGCAAGAGTTTGCTTTAACTTGTAGAATCTGCTCATTTAGCAAAACGCTCATCTAAAAGAATGCTCAAGTAAGCAGCTTATCACTGATAAGTACACTCACAGTTGTTTAGGAATGGGAAAAGGAATCAATCAACCAAGCACAGCAGAGGAAATACAAATAAAGTCCTCAACCACCGCTCAATCTTATTCCAGAATCAGTCTATGAAGGAACAACCACATATCAAGCACCAAAATTTACTAAAATCTGGCTCTAGAACTCCAAAAGGGCGCCAGAGGTTGATCAGTAACAAGAGATTAAGGAGGCTCAAAATATCATATAAGCTAAACTCTCCATTACAGATCAGTATTACTAAATAAATAGTTCAGTTTTAACCAAGCTCCAGGAATGCTTCTAAAGAACCTCAGTCAATGATGAGAGAAAGTTTAATAAATAAGCTATCCATAGGCCTCAGTTTTACAACTCACTAGGTTCAGATTTTATTGTAATATATTCAGCAGAACTGAACACCCTCGGGGTTTTGGGGTTTTGGGGTTTTGGGGTTTTGGGG